TTATTTTTGAAATTATTGAAGAGCGAAAAAATAAAAAATTTAGTAAACATTTTCGTACTTTTGACTTCTTATAGCTTAAGAGTGGGTGAAAAAAAGTTCCGAATCCATTTTGTTTTTTTTTTTTGGTGCAAGTTAATTAAATGCAAAGAAAAAAGAAAACAATAATGAAAAACTGGAGCTGTGCAAAAATAAACTTAAATATTCAACTTGTTGGCGTTAAAATGCTCATATGTGACCATGGAATATTACGAATTTTTTTTTTCTAAAATATTACCATTTTTATTTCTAAAATATCATAAATTAAAAAGTGTGAAATTTGTGAAAAATTTTCTATCATAATATTATCATACATTTGATGTTTCGTTTTGATGAAATCATTTGAATAATTAAAAAGAAATTTGATATTAAATTTTATAGGTGGTCTTTATTAATAAAATTTAGACCGAAAATGGAAAATATTTTATGAGTGAGACGAGTATCTTATTCTTTTAAAATTGAAAGAATTTGTAAATTATTACGTTTACGCAGGTAAATGAGATATTTACTATAAAGTGAAATGAATTTGACCCTGAAATTCGCACATAAATATAGTTACACACTCGTCCAAATTAAATAGAATTTTTTAACAAATTAGTACATATAATACTTACATGCAATATAATATCACATAATTAAATTATTTGATTAGATTAAAATGAAAAATTGAAGTGTATTTAAACTAAAAAACAAATAAAATTTTATATTAAAAAATTTGAGCGTAGCTAAAGCCACAGTAATGATAAATTTAAATTTTCTAAGTAGACAAATATAAAAAATTGAGTGTAACAATGTGCTTGTAATGTTGTAATAGAACCGAAAATATTTTCTGTGGCATGATTTCGCGGTAGTATTAAAAAGTAGTATTTAAATGATTTAAAGGGAAACTTTTTTGATTTTATTGTTTGCTCACAGTGACATCGATAATTTTATCGACAAGTAAGTCAATCAAGATCAAACAAGCAACCAAAACCGAATTAGAATTAAAGTTATGTATATAAACTTTTTGACAACATTAAGAATTTGTCACAATTTCCCTACACCATTTTAACTTGCACCTCTTATATGTTTTCTGTAAATCTTACAATCAATATTTAACTCAGTTACCCTCCTTAAATTTTATATACAAGCATGGAGCAGTCTACTGCCGGTGTATAAGGCAACACAAGCGTAAGACCAACAATAATATAAGATTTTGAAATGTGCGTTATATTGATTCGATGAGCTCTCTTAAACATTTCGGACGTAAAACTGTTACTTTGAAAAACTACCGATTTCACAAAAAGCCATGTAAATTGCGACTTTCCGGCGGCCAGAAAATTTCGCTCGCAACAATGTTAAACTTCTTAACGCAAAATGGGTTATTTCAGTTAATATATGTGATGGTTCAACAAAATAATATTTTTGTTAAGTGATTGATTTAATGTACTCAAAAGCAAGCCATTTGGTCCTCCCAGTAAGCTATCTCGAATTTCCCAGTAAGCCATCTGGAAATACATATAATAGTAATTGTGGAACTGTTGAATACTACTTTAGCCGCGCCCAATCATCGATCTGAATCAGCACTTTTTCATTTTATTTTTTTGGAGAACGTTTTTTGGAATTTAATAACTTATAAGTTAATTGCATACTTTTTCAATAAGTTTTTTGAAAAGGTTCTACATTTGAAGAGTATGAATTGAACTTTTGAATGAATTGGAAATTACGTAAAGTCAATCGACACAGCACATGCGAAATATCACATTATTTTTGCTTTTTTATTTAAATTTAAATAAGAAAAAAGAGTTGTTTTCGAAATATCATTTTCTCTTACTCATTTTAATTTTAAAAATAAATTTAAATAATAAATATATTTATACATTTGTGTTTAAGCATTTCTTTCATAATTTTATTAACTCATTGGAACTTTTCCAATTTTTGGAAACCACCTATGCATATTCTATGCCAAATAAAAACAATTTCGGTTTTTTATGTAAAAAAAAAAAGAGTTTCTATTGTGTGAAAGGTCAATGAAAATCTAGAAATTTGTTTGTCCTGTTATTAGTACACGAAAGTTGCTGAGGTGAATCTTTATTATCAAAAATACTTTGAAACTTTGATTTTTTTATAAGTTTTATAACGGTGTAAAATACCTTCGCAATGAACATTACGAGTATAATCTGTTATAAGAAGTTATGTGAAATTTTTCTATTTGCAACTTGTTTTCAAGGATGTTTTCGAGTTATATGCATTGCTTTCAAAATTTAAATTGCGTAAGTGTTTCCTATTTTAAATACAAATTCAATCAGTGTCTAAAAACATTCTTATATTAAGCAAGAATCTACATATTATACAAAATATTTTTATACTCGTACGAACGTTTATGTTTGAAAGGTGAAATATGGTAAAATAGTCTTCATTCTCGATAAAAACAGTTGCAATATCATGAGCGCTTTTCATGCAACTCCAAAATTTTTGCTGTCACTAAAAATGATTGAGATAGATAATATTCAAAGCAAGTATATTTGTATTGTAGAAACTATTAAAACCAACACTTTCAGAGCTGTTACGGATATTCGTCAGACAGGAGTTTTTCAAACAGATTTGGTATTATCCTCTAAAATTTCCATTTTCGAATTCACCCCCCCCCATACATACGATTGAAATTTTTTCTTAAATTCTCCACACTTTCTTTCCACTCCTGAAATCACTTTCTGAGAGCTCCAACATCAGCATCGGATTTATCCCTTCAAAATAATCTTCTTGTATTTTAGAACGATTTTAAAATAAAATACTGTAATTCTATATATCTTAGTTTAGCAAAGGGTTTGTCATTTCAAAATAAATTGCCACAAAACTCCTTAAAATATTTGTATTGGTCTTAAATAAATGTTGTAATAATCAAGGAGCAGTTTTAATGCTTTACGAGGATTTGGCACATAATTTTTAAGATTTGTCGATATTTGTTAATTTGATAAAAAAGTTAATCAAATATCATCTATAATATTTTATGATTTTAAATATTTTATTGCACATTGTATATTGCGATACTCTTTACTGCATAGAGCTACAATTTCTCAAATGTAAAATATCATGATATTTAAATATAAAATTTATTTCATTAAAGAAAATTAAAATTAAACAAAATCAAAATAAAAAATTGGCAAAAAAGTATTAATTTTACTATTTATATAATTATACATATACAGTTATGTTATGTGAGAAATTTTTTTAGACTACGCGAAAATTAAAAATAGATTGATAATTGATTTGGAATTTCATTTCGTTTAATTTGCATCTTATTTATCTTTTTTCATAAAATAATTAAGTAAATTTTATAACTATAGAAAAATATTTCTGTTAAACAGGGACATTTCGAGGTAAACCCTGAGACATAAACAAATTTGAATGATCTGAAGAAATATTCTATTTGACATATTTGTGACATATTCGGTCAACCTGAACTGTCTTACAAAAAGCATCATAATATTTATTTTAAGATTTCTTTTGAGATTATGAACTGCATAGTTTCTTGACATCTATAAAACAGTTGGAACTAAATAATTGAACCAACTTTTCAAAAAGAACGAGGGTGTTCTTTAAACAGTTTAAAATGGAAGTAGCTATACCCCACCATTTTATTGATATTTTTGTGTTTAAAAGGTTTTACAGACTAATATGCTGTTTAATTAACTCTCCGATTATTATGAATCCTATAAAGATAGGAAAAGCGTGTGCAAATTACCACTAAAATCTATTGAGCTTTACAAACCGGTGGGTCATTTTCATGGGTTTCCCGAAAGTAAAGATCTAGCATAATCTTTGAAAATTTTAATAGTCGCAATCGAATTTGAAGGAGAATGGACCGCACTTTGCCGACAGCTGATCTAGCGCTAATATCACTTCGCATATACGAAAACTGAAACTTTAATGGGTATTTAGATATTAGGACAAATCAATTTCATATTTTATTATTGTTTCTTGTAATTTTTGAGTTAAAATAAAAAAATTTAAATTAGAAAGAAATGAATTTGGGCTTCCGTATATTTTTTCCATTTGTTTTAAAAATTATTTTGATTAAACTAAATTAAAAAATTATAAAATCTTAATAATTGTTTCAAATTTTTTTATTGTTTTCTATTTTAATAACTCGGAAATTCAAAAATGCTAATTTGATATTGAATTTTCGGTGTTCTTACTAGTAAATAAAATTTTAGAGATTTTTTTTTTAGAAACCCTAAAAGGAAACTTATAATGGCCAACTTAATAAAAATTTTAATAGTTCTTTAAATTAGATATTCGGTGGGTGATGTCTATATAACTTTATAATTATTATAAAATTACATATATTTTTACTTTTGTTTAAGAATTTAAGCTTTGACATTATATCAGCTAGAGGAGGAATAAATAGAGGTTTTTTAAATTAAGCGTTGTAAAATAAAAAGAATGTTTTTATTCATTTCATCTTATATCTATGGTCTTGTAGAATGGAAACTTTTAAGAAATGTTCTTATAGTTATAAACTCATATCTGCTTATTCCCATAAAATCTTAATGCTCCAAGTTACAATCCTTGTAAGTGCGTTTTATGTTTATTTTAACCATTAACAGAATTAATTGTAAACTGTGCTCCATTAACTGTTCTGTAAGAGAAGTCAATTAGTATTGATATTTTTCACGTCATCGTTTTTACAATTACCTACAGGTCTATAATGTTACATTTTTTTAATATATGTATGTAGATACAAAATTTCAAATTTGAATCTAAACGAATCGTGAGAATATACTCTAAACCACTAAATTATCATATCTCAACCATTTAGAGTAATTCGTCTTAAAACTTATACAACTTTTACATAATAATTTTTTTTCATTGAATTTAAAATGTTTACCAAATCGATTAAAAGTAAAAATCTGCCTGTAACTACATTCGTTCATTATTTAATTGGAAAAATTTCTATTATAATTTTTTTTGCTATTTTGCAGGTTTATTTCTGACCGGAACTCTTGCTGATGAACAAACATGGGGCTACCCCGACATGGAAAAGGAGGAAGGTATGATAAGTTAATTAATTTATTATTGACAAAAGCTACTTCATCGTTGATAAAAGCAATCAAACACAGCTTGATGTTATCAATATCCTAAATCAAACTTTAACTTTCGTTAAATTAAATAATTTAAGTTTAATACACAGCACGCTCATTGCATATCATGCAAATTACTTTAAAAAAAATTTGCCAGAACAATTTGATCTAAAGAATCTGATGTGATCCATAAATAATAGATCAAATTTTGTAGAAACTTCGGGGTTTTTTTGTAATTATATTAAGTGTTGCAAAATTTTTTCATTATTTTCTTAAAAAACAATCGAATTCATAAAATATTGCGGCCTTGTACTTCAATATTTTTTAAATGTGAACCACCTGTATTTTCCGTTTTTCGGCAAGAATTCTCTTTACCAATTGATAAATCAGTATAATTAATTTTCTTGACGCTCTAAGATTTGCGCCCAAATGAAACGAAAAATTTAATAACGCTCTCAATAAAAATATTCTTATAATCTCAAAATTTTCTATTTTTATCAAGAGTAAATTTTCATTATCAAATAAAACATTCACAAATTTCATATTTCATTACTTAATAATCAATTGGATTAATTTGTTAAAAGATAACAGATGCCCCTCATATTAATTTTTATAGTCGAAAAAAAAAATTAAATGAATAAACAAGCAGTTCATTCAATTGAAATACCCTTGACCACTCTTTGGAGAGCTATCATAATATTTTTTTTTTCTATCTTTGCGGGGATTAAATTTTTAGTTTATATTTCGGTACTTGTGCTGATGTATTATGTAATTTTATTTTGATTTTCATAAAAATAAAAATGTAGACATCATTTTTTACTTTCATCTATATTCAAAGAATTCAAATTGTATTAAAAATGTACGTAGAATAAAAATAGAAAAATTATATGAAATAAATATGATAATAGGGTTAAACATCATAATGGGGTTACTTTAAAATTTAGAACATAAATTTCAATTCATTTATTTTAAATTAATATTAGATCATTTTGCACTAATCACTATAACAATTTCAAAGCTGTTTGGACTATTATTGTAATAGTGAATAAATTTTCCCGGAAAAATGTCTGTACAAATAATATTTTTTCGATTGTTAACAATTAAAAATGGTTCAACCTATTGGACACAATAGTTGAATTTAGAACAAAGTTTTAGCTAAGATTGAGTTGACAAAATAATATTAAAATTTTATTTATTATATGACTTGTATGACCTTATTTACAATATTCATAAAAAGTGATGTTTAACTTAAGTGAAATATAACAGAGATTTTCGTAGACACCATATTACAAAATGAAGACTACCAGTCGTAATATATACTGCAAAAACAATATTATGGATGTGCAATATATGCACATATTTTTAACTGTTATATAAAATTAAAATACACTTTTTAGTTGATAACAACTCATAACAATTTCACTATATTATTGCTGATAATTTAGAAATATTAACTAGATTAGCAACATTTATTTATAAACATATAACACAGAGCAAGTTTATAAATGTCAAATTTTTGAATATGAAATGAATATTTTATTACATATAATTTTCAAATTCTTCTGTAAGACATTTTATTTGAAACCGTAGTACAAAAAGTGTGAAAAATTTAATTTTAATGATTGTTCATAGCATCGTGAATTTTTTAAATTATATTCAAATTAAAAGTTTTGGCATTAAATATTTTTCCCCAATAATTTATATTAGGTGCATATGATTTGAATCTTACAAGTTTCATATATAGTTTCTTGAATTACATTAAAAGTTGGCAAAAATTCAATGAACTCATAACTTGTTATTAACGAGTTGTTTCTTGAATATTTTTCTGGTAATTTTAATGGTAAACAGATTCTTTATAATATATTTTTACTCTATTATAATAAATTTGTAAAAATAATTTTAAACCCATCAAATTTTTCATTCATTCAAATTATTTTTGCAGTACTACTTTGTAACGATGCTACTTCTTATTTAGTTTCTGATTGGTACTAGCAGATAATAATATTATTTTGTCCCTATATAAAAATAAATCTCCTTCATGATTTTTGTAGTTATAGGGCGGCATTAACTCAGTTCAGTGACTGTCGCCGATTATTCGCATATATTATAATTACGAAGAGAAAACATTATTTACGTACATAATACATACATAATGTACATGTAGCACAAATATCGCTAAATAACCAAATTTCATAATACTTACATATATTAAGCTATTTTTGTATAACAAATTTTTTTTTTGCAACTTAATTTATTTGTCTTTAAATATTTTAATTTAGTATAACAAACATATTTAAGAATCTATATACGTGAATAGAATCCGGATTGTTATTATGTTTATTTGAAATAGATTTTAAATAAAATATGTATTTGTAAAACAAAAGAAAAGTCAGCTGTATATAAAAATAAAATAATTAAATGTTAATACCCTAGAAAAGTGTTATGACCTTTTAATTATAATTTTGAAAATTGGCGTCAAGTAGAGAATTTCTAACATCTTCTATACATAATATAAACATTTCAATTGTATTATTCGTTCTTATTTTAAGTCAATATATTGTGGTCTACAAATGAAATGATTTTGGTATTTATTATACAATTTAAGTCTATGGTATGTGCATGCCAATACTTAACATTTAATTTTCAATCTAATTAATGTATAAGAAAAAAAAGTTCAATTACCGAAAAAAATATGCTCTTCTTTCTTTCTCGAAATCTTACGTATTCTTAATTAATAATAAACAAGCTAAAACTTTTGAGTCGACCTTAGTTAAATATATTGAAAATAACTGTTAGGGAATACTTATTATAGCGCACCAATTTCAACGAAATTTACATGATTGTGCGTTGACGAAGTTTTGGAATTGTCAGTAAAAACATGATCATAATTTTTGGAAATTAATATTCTTCAAAATATTTTCATATACATTCTATAATTTTATTTTAATTACTTTATTTTCAAAATTCAATTTATGCAACCTTTGATTCTTGCAGTTAGTAAAATTTGTAGCCGAAAAATAATAAAGTACAATTTATTTATTGTCTTTTTATACCCTGCACCTAGAAAAGGGTTTATTTATTAAATTTGGTGTGGAGTTTGTAAGCATTTAAAGAGATCGTCTGTGGCATAGGTAGATATTTTGGCTCTGCGTAAAATATTGCGTTTATTTAGACAAGCTCCTCCCTTCGATCGCATCACTCGGGTAACGGCTGTACAATTAAAAGATATTATTTTTAATATTTCAAAAACTAACAAAAATATTTTCTGAATGTGTGGCTAATACATACATTTTACATACATATATATTCTGAAATAATTTCAATTAAATGAACTGGTTTTTTTGAAAGTGGTACAAGTCCATTTCTTTATATATTCAGATATTTATGGGCTTGCGTTTGAATCAATTTAAAAATATTGGCCATAATAACATAATTTGTTTATTTTATGTCTACATAGAACTCTGTTGAAATTGTGATTGTAAATACTGGAGAGAAGGTGTCTATAACTCACTAAAATTACCATTAACTTAGTCTTTTTAAAAAGTGGACTTATACCACTTTCAAAAAAACCAGTTAATGGCTGCACTAGTTCGGTTAACTGCTGAACAATCCTGAAAGTTAAAATTAAATATTTGAAAAAATAATATAGTTGGCTGCATGAAATTCGGTGGTCAATTATAACTCAGACATATCCGTGAGGTTTTTTGAAATGATTTGACAGGCTCGATTCAACAGCCATATGATTATAAAAGATAATTTTAAATATTTTGAAGAACAAAGTTTTTATAGTCAGACATAAACTGTCAAGGTGCAGGGTATATTTCATTCCGTTTACCTATACTGAAATATTTATACTTGTTGCTGAAAAAAGACTGAAAAAAAAATTTTAATGATTCACTTTGAGTTAATGAACTGAGAGATTTAAGAAATAATTAAAAGTAATAATTAGTAGTTTTTAGCACTTTTCCAAAAATTTTTTGAAAAAAAGTGCTTATTAGTTTCACTCTGTCCGTCCGTCCGTCCGTCCGTCCGTCCGTCCGTCCGTCCGTCCGTCCGTCCGTCCGTCTGTCCGTCCGTCCGTCCGTCCGTCCGTCCGTCTGTCCGTGTGTCTGTTTACAAAACTTCTACATTCTTAAAGATAGAAAGCTGAAATTTAATAGGTACATAGATCTTTACTAGAAACTTATTTTCGTAGAACAAAATTTTTACCTATCTTCCCCCCTCTAGAAGTTATACCCCCCCAAAGCACTAAAAATGGCCTATTTTAACTATTTGCTGCAATGAAACCATAAGCATTTTTGAAATTTTGCAAACGCAGAAGGGCAGTGACTTGCTTCCCCTACCGCGGTATACTATAGTTAAACTTTAGGAAAACAAAATGGCCGTTCAAATTTACCGTTATCTAAAGTCCTTTTTTTCCAAATTTTTCATGTCGTTTTTCTTCTAGACCCCAGCCTGTAGAAGCTTGAAATTTTAGGAGCTTTTAGACATTAACAAGTAGTTCATTTCGTTAGAAGAAAATTTTTTTCCATCTCCACCCCCTCTCAAGTTATGGCCTCTTGAAATTTGTGAAATATGCATTTTTGACACCTTATATTTCTGAAACCGCAAGTTTTTTCAAATTTAATTCAACGCAAAAAGTTAACAGTAAATTCCATGAAATTAAAAAATATAATTATTTTTCTTAACTCGCACAATTAACCCTTAAAATCGAGCATTATGTTAACCCCTGTTTATATTAAATTTTGCTTTATTTCAAAGACTGCATAAATCATTCATCCTAAATATATGCAACCCTAGAAATAGTTTAGTATATGAATGAAAATAATTTTAATAGTGTGGTGGATATACATAGACTGTTTTTAAAAGCAGTATTTTCACTTGTTTAAGGGAAAAGTGCTACAATACAAACCATTGGTTTGACCCAACTTTATTTCTACTTCAATCGTATTTTTTCTTTAGTAAAATATTTTATTATCTTCAAAATCAATCAAAACCTTTGAAAGAATTTAGATACATAGGTAGGTTATTGTATATACTATGTTAATGCCCGTACTAATGCCAACTAATTAATTATAAAGTAGGTAATTACTATTATAATATCGTTGTGTATAATAATTTTAATTTTATATAATTATAATTTTTCAAATATTTTTCATTGAAATGACAACAATTTAAATTTTGTGTTGCAACGTTGATAAGGAATGCTAAATTTGTACCCTGACCAACAATTTTAGTATCAGATGAACGTTAATAGTTTGGTGTACGGCTTTTCTCAAAAGACATTATTTAAAAAATTTCTGTAAAACTAATTTACGAATCTGAAATTTTGATAAATGGTTGATTAGAAAGAATTATTAGTAAAATTACGGTAGAAAAATATAACGAAAACGTAAAAAAATTTGTCCTTGACCACAAAATACAACTTTTATATTTATGATATTTTTTTTCCAAATTATTAAATTTATAATAAATCTTTTCTGTCATATTTGATTAAAATTTTGACTTCTTTTCCAATAAAAATATTATAGCTAAATTATTATTTCGTTTAATAATGTTCCGTAAACAAACACGATTTCAATATTATTTAAATTTGATAAGATTTTTGTTTTGATAAAAATTTATGGAAACGGTAATAATTGATTATTAAATACAATGAATACGAAGATTAATTAACTTTCACACATTTAAGGTACTTCATAAATCATTAGCAAAAACAAATTTTTATAAAATTAGAATTCGGTGAATTTTACATACAAGAAAATTCATTTTTCTGTTTGCAAAAACAATTTAGATTTTTAGCACTTTTAGAAAAAATTTTTGAAAAAAAGTGCTTATTAGTTTCACTCTGTCCGTCCGTCCGTCCATCCGTCCGTCTGTCTGTCCGTGTGTCTGTTTACAAAACTTCTACACCTTTGAAGATAAAAAGCTGAAATTTTGTACGTACATAGACCTTTACTAGAAACTTATTTCCGTAGAACAAAATTTTTACCTATCTCCCCCCCTTTAGAAGTTATAGCCCCCCAAAACCCTAAAAATGGCCTCTTTTAACTATTTGTTCCAATGAAACCATAAGCATTTTTGAAATTTTGCAAACGCAGAAAGACAGTGGCTTGCTTCCTCTAGCACAGTATACTATAGCTAAACTTTAGAAAAACAAAATAGCCGTTCAAATTTACCGTTATCTAAAGTCTTTTTTTTCCAAATTTTTGATTTCGTTTTTCTTCTAGACCCCAGCCTGTAGAAGCTTAAAATTTTAGGATCTTTTAGACATTAACAAATAGTTTATTTTGTTAGAAGAAAATTTTTTTCCATCTCCACCCCCTCTCAAGTTATTCCCTCTTGAAATTTGTAAAATTTGAATTTTTGATACCTTATATTTCCGAAACCGCAAGCTTTTTCAAATTTCTATAAACGCAAAAAGTTAACGGTAGTTTCCATGACATTAAAAAATATAATTATTTTTCTTAACTCACACAAATAACCCTTAAAATCGAGCGTTATGTTAACCCCTCTTTATATTAATTTTTGCTTTATTTCAAAGACTGCATGTATGCATCATCCTAAATATATGCAATCCTAGAAATAGTTTTGTATATGAATGAAAATAATTTTAATAGTGTTATAGGTATCCATAGTCGTAGACTGCATTTAAAAGCAGAATTTTCACTTGTTGAAGGGAAAAGTGCTACAATACAAACCATTGGTTTGACCCAACTTTATTAATTTTGCCCTGTGAATCTAAAAACCGGCCTTGTACTCAAATCTAATAGATTCTAATTATTGCTTCAAAAATTTTTGTCCTGACTTCTAGAGCAATATAGCTCTTTCGCATTACTCATAGAAGCTGAAGGATGTGTTACAGAATAAAGTTTAATTAGCTTAAGTCAAAAGTCGTGAAAGTAGTATATTGATAGGATACTGCAGTTATCCTATCAATATACTACTTTCATTACATTAAAATTATTGTCAATATTGTCAATATCGTAAATAGTTATGTCATAAGTGTGCAGTTTCAATGCGAATACCGGTAGAAAATAAATTCTACAAACTCGTTGATTGTATTTTTATAGATTAAAAATATCACAACTAGCTGGTTTAGTCTTAAGTCAATTTGATCTAGGCTAAATTAAATTTAAAAAGTAAAATTTTTGTTTTTTCAAAATCAAATCATCCAATCTTCGACACTGAAAATTTCACAGCCTGATCGTGTATTTCGCTTTTTTATTCAATTTTAATTCATTTTCAAATCAGAATCTTCAGTATTTTCTAATGGATGTTTCACTTTTCCAATAAAATTTTTTTCATTTGGATTTTATCGACTGAACGCCTCACTTTCAAAAACAAAGTGAATAAATTCTGTATGTATTTTAGAAAAAAATGAGAATAATCCTTCCCACTCGTAAATTACATTATACAAGTATATGATAGTTACTCACTTTCTTCTTACTGTCATAGTAAAATAGCGAGATAAATGAATAGGGCCTTACTTTCAAAATAACACATATCTATCAGATGTTGTCAAAATGAATAGATCTGAAGCGTTGAATCTTTTAATGAAATCAAGTTTTTGGTTTTTTTTATAGATTCTTGGCCTCCAAATTTTCATTTTAATTTGATTATTAGACTGAAGTATTAAGGCAAGTTTTACAGTAAAAACAGTGCCTTTAATGTTAATTAAGTTTTCTACTAAACTAAATGTCAATTTTTTATAAATGAAATTTAAAATCACTGTAGAACAATATCTAAATATAAGAGAGTCTTTTGAACTTTAAGAAAACTTTTCTATAAAAGTTTAAATATTAAAGCGCTTAAAAATACGACCATGATAATTTGTTGACGTTTTTTTTATTTAATAAAAAAAAAAATAAATTAGTTTGCACAAATTTAAACGTGTGTAAAACTAGTTAATCAAAATAAAAAACAAAGCTGCGATATCATTGAACTCGAAATTAAAATTTTTTGCTATTTTTATTTGCGAAAATTTTTCGCTAAAAATTTATGTAGAAAAAAATGGTTTATTTTTTTTTCGGAAACTAAGCGATTTTTTTTTACTTCTGATTTTTTTTTTTAATAACGTTTAAAATCTAATAAATCTGACTAATTGATGAATTAAAATTATGTTATACTATAGCGAAGCGTGCGAAAATGCATTTTGACATTTAAATGAGGCTAACATTTTTTTGGTTTTCGGAAATATTAAAAATTACCAGGTTAAAAAAAATTGTATTATGATTTACCGGTCTAGTTTTTTATATTTGTCTTTTTTTATCTTCTATAAAATCGAAAAGAATTTTTTTTAACTAGTATAAACTTATACTAAGTTACAATAAGTTTAAGTTTTTATAAGTGTATAAAATTTCAGATATCTATATTAAATTGTGTAGAAATTTTTTAAACCGACATATGGACAGACGGACATACTGAAACTTATAATTACTTTTTTTGGAAAGGTGCTAAAAGGGAAAATTTTGTTATGTTTCTCTTAGAAAATGTAAGTTTTCAAACAAGTTGTCACACTGCGCTCACTCTTGCTATTTATGACAATCTGTACACTCTAAGTTCTAGAAAATCATTGCGAATGAAGTTACATTTGAACAATGTTACCAAATTATCCTGATTAATATTGTGTAAATCAGTCGTCGATTCCCGTAGTTGAAACGTCTTCAATCAGTTATAGTTATAAGGTTCGTTTTCACTTTAGCTTACCATATTGTTAATCATTTTCTTCTTGAAATTGGATGTATTAAAACTGTACCAACACTTTTTGTTTATGGCTAAAATTTGAAAGTCGAAATTGGTTTTCACATCGTAACTAAAATCCTTTATCTCCAAAGTTGACAACAAATTCTATTTTAGAAATACGACTATTGAATTAGAAATCTTATAGGAAACAAGCATGAATTTTTATGAATTTTACTTAAACTCCATTTTTTTCTTTAGTACCTTATTAAAATAATGTGCCTCAGGTGTTTGTAAAGAATTTCGGATAGTCATTGGCTTTTATCTTTTTCGCCATTTTTATGAATTTTTTTCTCGTATTCTTTTGTTTCTTTCTTACTTTTATGCTAATTGATATGTTATGTTATTTTAAAGCTTTTTTTTGGAAAGTGCAACTCAAGCGTTATACTTAAGTTTTGTTACCTTTTTTGTTACGTTTTTTTTCGTATAATACATATGGGAATTGTAGGAAGCATTTAAGCATTCGAAGAGAGTTTTGTTTTACGTTTTTTTATTGTTATTTTTTTTTTTTTTTGAATAATTGCTCTTCTTTGAAGTGTTAAAAATTTAAAACGCTATTATATTTGTCTATTGTAATTTATACCTTTTTAGTGAATGTACCGCAAATGTACATATATGTACCATATTATAAAATGTTAATTGTGTTAAAATTAACGGGCTAATAATTTTCAAAATAGTCACATACAAAATAATTTGCAAACATGTTCAATTTGTTAAAAGTTATGGAGTTTTCATAAATTGACTTTCTGTTATAATTGATTAATTTGTGTGCCTTTGTATGATAAAAATATGATTGGTTAAGTTTTATTTATTTGAAAACCAAAAAAGAAACTATATTTTGAAAACGCATTGAAGATATAATTTTTGTGATATACCTGTACAATAAGTACCTATAGATACTTATGAATTTATATTTCGTTAAATTCTATGATTAAAATTCAATTGAAATTGAATAAGATAGAAAATGTAAGCCTTGCAAAATATTGGTTCACAGTAATAAGAGTAAAAATAAACATACCCTTTTAAATTAAAAAATTATTTGGAATTTGAAAATCTCAAAATTAATTAATATGGGAAAACTTTCCAGGATATATGTGCAAAAAATGCTCTTAAACCAAATAATGTTGAAAGTGTGTTCATTATATTGTTGCTTTTAATTTATAACTTTGTTAAAAAATCTAAAATTAATAATCATATTTCATTTGTTTACTATTTACAGAATTCCCAGATTGGGGTGGATTATGTGATAAAGGTAAACTACAGAGTCCTATCGCACTGTCTAGGGATACTTCTATAAGAGGGGATTTTCCACATTTTGACTTTGATAATTATGAAGAGGAATTAAAGGACGCGGAAATTGTCAATAATGGTCATACAGGTATTTTTACTATACGATAGACAAGCATTTGTAACATATTCATTTTAACTTTTCTATAAATTAGTAAAATATTATTTTATTGAAATTTCTAGTTAAAATTCATAAATTTTCAAATGATCACAAAGTTAGTAAAGGTTGCCTTGAAAAGGATACTTATGAATTAGTTCAAATGCATTTCCATTGGAACTCCGAACATAAAATTGAAGGAGAAAGGTAAATATAAATTATTTTTATTCTAAAAATTTAAGTAGGATTTTAAAAAATTTTTTTCTTTTTTTTTTTTGAATATTTAATTTAATGCTTACAAATATATATATTTATTTTACAAAAAAAAAATATATGAATATTATCGCAATACATCATTTTATTCGAGTGAAAAAATCTTTGTCCGTTTTGCTATAAATCTAAAAATTAAAAAAATTAAATAATCAGTAGAGAAAAATTGCTATAAATTGCTCATAAATTATACTAGAAAAATAATTTTATTTTCACAAGTACAATATTTTTTGCCATAATATAATAATACTATAACATTACAAGCATTGATATGTGCAAATGTTAGGCGGGTCTTTTTGGAAATGTACATAGATAATAAATATTGTAATTTCTATGATAAATTTAAAAATTTACTCGTTATAAATTAAGGTGAAATTAACATATTTGATTGTAATGTGACTTTTATAAGTGTGAATTATTCGTAAGTGTGTCGTTCTTTTGTTGTTTTAGTGTACCTTCCAATTATTTAAATTGATATTTTTAAAACCAAAAATATATTGTTTAATTTAAGAAATTAAATTCAAGAGTCGATTAAATTACACGGGAATCGTAAATGACTTTAGTTTATCCAAATAACAAAATTAGAATGAAAAAAAAATAACAAGTAAAGATTTGTTTTTATTTAGTCAATTTTTTGACATTGTTTTAACATTCACTTCTAGCTAATTTTAATATTAAATTTAAATTTTTTTATTTATAAGATGTTTTCCCAATTTTATACGTTAATATGACAATCTTGAAAAGCGCCATACATTTATGATATAATATATTATAATATGTACATCATATAAGCGAAGTTAACCTTACTATGGGTCACATTAATTTAATCCGCTAGAGAATTACTTTATTATTTAATAATATTATATCAAAACTTTTAATTTCGAATTTGTTTAAAAAAAGCCTTTATGAATTGTTAAATATTTCTGAAAGCATTAAGTAAAGCTAAAAGTCTACACAAACTTCTAGTAGAAAATCAAATGCTACCCCTAATTGTAAATTTAAAAAACTTTCATTGTCATAAGTATAATGACTAGCTACATATTTGGCTTTTTATGCTGAACACAATTATTTTTATAAAAATTGTATTGTAAAATAATTTACACATATCAAAACAAAATAACCTATACAATACACTCTGTTCCTCCGTCCTTCGGCCCGTTTTTTTTTTTAAAAAACTTTTAAAAAACTATTAGAAAACTATTTTTCTGGCTTTTTCTATTGAGGAATACAAGGGGGAATACAGGAAAATACTTAAATTTAAAAAAAACAAAATGGTCGTTAAAATTTACCGTTATTTTAAATTCGTTTTTTTCATATTTTTGATATTGTTTTCTAACCTAGACTGCAGGTTGTAGGAGTTTGAAATTTTAGCAGGTTTTAGACACTAATAAATAGTTTATTTTGTTAGAAAACTTTTTTCCAGCTTCATCCCCTCTGAAATTATCGCGTTTGGAAATTTGTGAATTCCAATTTTTGGCAACTTGTATTTACGAAACTGTAACCTTCCTGAATTTGTATGAATGCAGAAAGATAACGGTAAATGCCATTCCATTAATAATATAATTACTTTTCTTAACTCACACAATTAACACTAAATGCGCTTCTTTCAATTTTTTTTTCGTTTTATTTCAAAGTGTATGTAAACTTGCTCATCCTAAATGTATTCAATCATTGAAATATATTCGTATACGAATGAAAGTAGTTTTAATAATGTAGTATCATAGTTAGATTGTTTTTAAAAGGTATTTTCGCTCGTTGAAGGTAAAAGTGCTGCATTACAATCCATTGGTTTGGCCCAACTTTTTTATATGAACAATTGGATTTGAGTTCTTATACTAATTATAGCCTTTATGCACACACACTTAGTGTTTTTTCCCAACTGTATCCATACTAAACCTAATAAAAATTCAAAAATCTTAATTACTTTGAATTAATTATCGCCTTTGTATTCTTAAAGTTGAAAATATGCTCTATTACACATAATGAATTCCCTGCGGCTAATAAAATGAAAATTAATCAAAGGTTAATTGTATAAATTTTTATTATTGAAATTTATTATAATTTAATTACGACTCTTTCTCATTCATTTGCAAATTGAATAAAAAGTGCATAAAGCTTCCCTTTAAAATATGATTATGATTAATATTTTTTAATTAATTAAAAGTTGATTCCGTGTTAACAACACTAAAGTTTTCATACAATGTATTGATAACTTCTATATAATTAACGGAAAGTCAAAATTTTCCTTAGATTATTAAAAAACTTAATTTTTTTATTACCTTTTATTCGTGTTTAAAATACAATATTGTGTTTGAATGAAAATTATTTCCATTTTTCGAAACTAATATTATATAATATTAAGTCATGTTATAATTTGATGTAATATTATATGGTACAGTGTTGCCGCATATGACTTTTGTATAATATCACATATTGTTGTAGCGGTTGTATCCAAAAGAAAATATAACATAATTCAAAATACACTAAAATCATGCCACTATCAAACAGTTAGTTTTGAGTTCGAAACTATAATTGGTTCTCTCGTTTATTTAAGCTTATTACAACTAAAATAAAATCCGCCAAGAGCATTTTTTTTTTGAAACAGCTTTCTATTTTGCCGTTTAGCATATTCGTAAAATACAGAATTTCTGTAGTACATAGTTTGTATAATAATTTACAAAATTTTAATAAAAAATTATCATGTACGTTGCATTAATTAATTTTTATCTAAATTAAAACTGCCAAATGCTGATATCAATTAACATTGAATGCATATAATGAAAAAATAATAATTGATGCACAGATATAGCGCTTTCATATATCATTAATTTTAATTTTAAAAACTTAAATTCATGTTTTCGCCCATAGCAGATTAAATTTATATCACGAATCATCATCTAGTTTAACTTTTTATGAATTCTAAATTAATTTTAAGCTTTTTTTTTTTCAAACCAATTTTAATTTATGTGGATAGTATATAAATGTGCAGTAGCGTAAAAAAAAACAAGAAAAACAAAAACAAATAATTTATTTTCGCGAATAATGTGACGTGAACGCATATTTTAATGTATATTGTATTATCACATTACCGCTGATTTGACATCTAATAAGATTCAATTGTGCTAGAAAAGTTTTGATAGTGATGAAAAAATAGGGAATTATAATGACCTATAGAATTCTTTTAACAATTCTCATTGTCATTGTCGTCACATTAAATTTGTTATATTCATTTTATTTTTTATTTTTTATTTGTGAATTGTTATACAGTGAGCTAGTTTTAGTGTGTGTACAATGAATTTGTTAGGCAGCATGTTTTTATTTACTTAACATAATGTATATCATATAAATATATGTTAAATATGTTTTTGACATAGGTTTCCCACTTTAAGGTGGGCCCGTTACTGTTTTTTTTTGTCGAACCCAATTGTAATTCATTGTCTCCTATGAGGTCAAGTTTGTAAAATTCTATTAATTTTTAGCACAAAAAGCAATGCCATCAATCGAAAAATTTTGTATGAATTTTAAAAGCAGTGGATTTAAATCATAGCCTTTCAAATACCTTCAGATTGTTTAGAGCATAAATATGGCCAAAATATTAAGGTTTTATAAATATTTGGCCCCTACTGAAATCGAACTACAAAATTTTACTGTATGTGGTTTGTTTTTCTAATTATTACTTTTCTTACATCTAAGAGATTATATCAATACTATGCCATACAAACAAATCGCTTTTTTCCCTTATACAACATCGACTCACCCTAATGTTGTATACATTAATATAACAACGCTTTGATTTATGCTTTATACTGTATTTTGTAGAATAACTTCATCATATTCGCCTTACTTTTACCAATAATAACATTACAATGGGAATTCAAGATTATTAAATAGAGAAAAACGAAAATTATTCCACTGTTAGAGATTTAGTTTAAATAGACTGTTAGTAGGTGCAAAATTAAGGCATTTCTTATTATAAATAGTTTTTTAGAATTATCAAGACCGGATATTAGATTTCAAATGTAATAATATGCGTGTGTATCATTTTCACTTGAAACGTTTTATCTTTAATAGTTTTTAGATTTATGTTAAACTATTCTATTATTAAGTTTAAAAATTATACAAAATTTTATACTTTTTACATATGTATGCGTATATTAAAATTTGAAAGTTACAGTGCAGACGTCTATGGAAAGCATTTGAATTAAGGAACCTTAAAAAATATTAAGAAAATACGAGTTTAGATTATTTTTATTATGTGCTTAATAATTGAGGAAAGGCTTTGAGTTTTTAAAAACTGAAATTTTTAATTATGACGTATGCAGATACTAAAAAGAGACAAAAATATGTTTTTTTTTATTAATATTTTTTCACATTCTTTTTTCAATTTAAATACGCTGCTCTCAGATAAATAAAGAAGCTCACAAAAACTTATCGTTACCTGCACAAAATTTATCGTTATGGCATATACAAACTGAAAATTTTTCCCTTATACAAAAACAAGTATTAGTATGACAACCTATCATTCGATTTCATCGAATAAATTCATATACTCTCAATAGATATTGTACGCTGTGATTTACTATCACCTTATTATTATGTAGCCCTCGCGTAACTATTAATAAAGCAAAAATATTTTCGACACATTTTAAAAAAAAACTAAAAAAATCAGTTCAATTATTAATGTGGTTAAATCATTATGAACCCTAATTAGTTTTTAATTTTACCTTATAACTCTTTTTTAAGATAAGAAGGTGTAACAAATAATTAGGTAATATTATAAAATTTAATTGTAGAGTCTTGAAACTAAAATATTTGCACAAACAACCAGAGTATCTACATACATTATATGTACATTATATTACAAGATTTATAAAAGAAAAATTGATACTTATTAAGTTAAGCAATTAAGAGCTTTAAAAGGTAAAAATTAATGATTG